TGACGGGTGCGCGCTACATAGCTTTGCCAAGGTGATTCATCTGACTTGTGTAGCGACCGCCTCTGACAATTCCCGAGACCTTTGAAGGCAATTAATTGGAACTCTGGCCCAATGGCCCGCAGTGCTTGTCAAGAACCCTTCTGACTTCTGAGCGCGGCCATCTGTATTGTCCCACCTGTGGCATCCTTCCTCGCCAACATGGATCTTGTGCGTCGCCAACGTTCAGCTAGGCCACCATGCGATTGCTCCGAGCGTGGAACCAGTCTGGAAAAGGCGGTTGTTGCGCTTTTCACATGTAGCGGGAACACTTCATATGTTTGATGCTCGAATGGGAAATCAAAGCCATACCATTCAATTGCGAAGTTGAAGTCCTATCATCCGGGTTCCTTCTAATATGAAAACGGCGGGTAGCCCTCTATTTACATGTGCACTATGCTGGTGAGTGAAAGATCTTTGCGATCCCGGTTGCAGCCGTTGATAATCAAACTCTTGTCACACTCTTTGCAATGTTGACCCTTCAATACTCCCCCACAAAATATTCGGGCTTGTTGAGTTGAACTCGTCCCTTCCTGCACACACACACACACAAACACAGCCGCCCCCCTCGATAGGTCTGTGTATCAGCTTGCATCATCCCTGAGACCCCAATTCCTATCGCGGTCCTCAATACTACGACGCAAAGCCGGATGTTTCCTTCAGTTGGCCTGGCGAATGGGGATTCGAAGAGCACCTGAGTCACAATCAAAACCTGGTATGTCAATTTTCTACCCACACAGCATGTCAAGAATTAATTCAACAGGTGGATATCCGCACCCATTGATGGCTTCTCCCTTGCCACCCTGCAACTACCTGGGGTTTTGACTCACCTGCCAGGCCCCCGATGTTCTTCTCAAACAAAAAACGGCGTCTGCCGTCTCCTGGTGGTAGCGACGCTGCCAGGCGCTGCGCCTCAAGGCGAAGCGGCTCACCCCTCACTGAACTGGGCTGTGTTCGGATCCCCCGCGAAAAATGACGAGAACTTTTCGTGGGCGAAATTCGGAAACCCCCACTCTAAAAGTCTAAAAAGCCAAGGGGATGGCTGGAAACCCCCACTAAACCAACTAAAAGTCTAAAAAGCTAAGGAACCGGATGGCTGGGAACCACCTACTGAAAAGATAGCTCTTCCTGTGGAACATATGTTGTACTGAGGAGAATGAACAGCTCAGGTGGGGACCCTTTGGGGGATATTTACATGGGGACATATGTCCACAAACCATCTTTCAGTGTAACAAGTGAAAAACATCACCTCCCAAAAAGGTGCAAGGCCAAGATTCAACCAAACAGCTTTGCCAAATTTATATCCATATAGTACTTGTCCTCACCGCACCCTCCACGCCTCTGTGAGTGAGGAGAAGTCGATGTCGTCCCCCTGGAGCTCGGGGATATGGACTTGACTAAAATTATGACTACCTAGGTCCTCCAGTGGAGAGGATAGAATAAGTTGGTACCCTATTTTTTTTCTGCAGTCTATTTTAGTAGGGGAACCCTCCTCCGCAAAAAAGAGCAAAAGGGGACTACTTGGGGGACCTAGATGAGGAAGGCTGTCAACAAACATGTGTTTGCCGACAAAAGCAGGCGTGTCCACTTCTGACACAAGAATGGGGGAATACCCTGGCCCCATTCAAAAGTGGTGCTGTTTCAGATCGGAAGCCTCCAATAAGCTACGCGGCGGGGTGTCAAAATGGAGCTCTTTCTGGAATCTCCCTTTGGCAGCACAAACTGGCACTTACCCCTTAAAACTCCAAGCCCTGGGGAAGTTAATCTTTTACAGACATATAGCCCATGTTACCCCCAAAAGTTGAAAAGTTGTGCTTTTAAGAGGTAAGGGCACCCAAATAGTCGTCAGCACGTCAGTGTCGTATGTGACAACTGCTGGCCACGAATGGGCAGTCTTGGCTTTGACGGCCAAGCATAAAACAAATGCGCAGGGGCAAACTAACTCCGGTGTTTCCATGTAGTCACTATATGGAAGTTGCTCAAAATGGTGCACCCCTCTTGGTTGGTATGTAAAGGGAAACCAAAAAGGACATTCAGCCTTTGAGGGGACCCTATTTTTAGAAGCCCCCATACTCCAAAGCTCCTTTCTGAGTCTGACCTGTCGCCGGCCTCGCCATCGCTGACCTGAAGGGGGTGAGCAGCAGAACCGGCAGAGTCCACTGGAGATTCATCTTCCGGATCCCCTCTTTATAGCTGCGATGTTAGTGGTGGGAGGGAGGGTACCTATATGAGTGTCGCTTGGTTTAGATATGCTCCCTCCAGGGTCGCTGCAGAAAAAAAACACACAATCATTGACTTAAAGGGAACATGGGCAAGCTCACCTTTGGGCTAGATATGAGCCGTGGCCAAAGCCCTTATATCACAAACTGGAATGTGTCTGATTCCTTGATTTTAAGCTCGTTTTTTTTTGTCATATATAAGGACCAGTGTTGATTCCACTCCAATCATATCTCTTGTACAAACCCTTTCACCGGTAGGTCATATTATGAGTTTGACCCGTCTGGGCACGGGGTAAATCTCTAGTCCCCTAAGCAACTGAGAGCCTGGGTCAAGGCATCACGCCGTGGCTACCTGCTTGAGGGAACAAAAGCAAACACCTGCAGGGCAATGCGTCAAATCACTAGAGTGACTTTGGGGCCTCTGTCACCACAAAATGGCATCTTTACACGGTCATACATTCACACATCATATGTATAGTCATAGTCTGCCCTTCTACGACGAGGGATCCTTGTAGTGAAAACGGACGCCCGTATTTCGACGCGCCAAGTGAAAGTGAGCCCCGACTCGAAGCCCGTGGGTAATTACATGACCTCATAGTCAGTCGTGGCCGGGGGTGGCAGTTGCCAAGTTTTGAACAGTTGCAACTTCAAAGAGCTGAACAATGAACGTAGTGATAATGTTGGCGATGTTGGCTGGCCAAGCGCAACGTCTGTGCCGACCTCACATCTTTGGGGAGCATCTTCCAGCGAGCTGCGTGCAATCTGTAAGCGGCGATTCACTTCCCAAGAATGGTCGACCTGATTTGACCCCATGTATCAGACTTGTTGAAGAAGAACATCTCCGAATCTTAAACCTCGATGTCAAGCAAGTCTCATTGAGGAGCTGACAAAAAAAAAACTAAACTTGCAGTTGAGAACTAACCTTCTGCATCCCTCGGAACGCCACGCCTCTGCGTCGGGCGCTGTGTCCACCTTCAAAGCAACAGGCAGGTGTTCTCTTCAAAAAAGAGAGTGTGTATGTGTGTGTGTGTGTGTTTCGTTTGTTCATGACCCCTGTTTCAAACTGATAAGGGTACCAATCCTGCGTCTCAACTGGGACCCCTAAAAGGAATGGTTTCTGTTTGAAGATAGCTTTGTACAGGAAAATCCCTTCCTCAACAGGAAGTTTCTGCCAGGCTGTTGAAAAGCCTCGGAAACGGGGGAGGTTTAGGAACCCCGACCAAGGAAAAAGCTTCCAGAGGGTCCCTTGGTACCTGAGGATGGCTTTTGGGGGGGTCAAAAGGGGTCTAAGTACCTCCTTAGAAGGTATTAAGGGAGCCCCTGGCTTCAAAGAGACAATTTGTCTGCCATTGAGTCACTCAGCTCGAATGGAAGTACACAAAAAGGATGCTATGAACGCATTGCAAGCCCAGTGTACACAATACCTGCCAAGTCTCGAATGTTGAGCGTCCAAAAGATACCCTCTTGATCTTGTCTGCTGATCCAAATGCTTGGTAAAAGAGTCCTTCCTGCTTTCCCTTGCAAAGAACAGGGCTCCTAAATGGAACTTGCTAATCACTCCTGTTCAGAAAATCCGGAGGAATGCCATTTGGTCCAGGGAACCCCCTGGATGAACAGGAGGTGTGCATTATTTATCTGGATGTTCTCAGATCCCCTGCTAAAAAGTTTAACTTTTGGTGGGTTAAATGGAAACCCAACCACTCAACCAACTAAAAACCTATAAACCACCAAGAAACCGGATGGCCGGGATTTGAATCTTGGGCCATCCAAGGCATCGGACCAAAATCTGAGCTTGGTTTCTGAACGAGGATCCGATTTGAATTTGAAGTCGCAATATGGCTCTGAATCAAAAATAGGGTACGGAACCCTGGCAAAGGGAACCAAGAACTAAAACCTGTGGTCCAATTCCTGGTGGTTTAACTTTGACCCACACCCACATCCGGGCGGAGACATGGAGTGCCCCATGACTTTCTCAAGGGCTGGAACCGGTGAGTACGACCATCTCCTGTCACCTCACAAATCAAAAACAAATCCCAAGGGGTGTCCGTTGTTGAGGGTACCCATTTTGTGTTCGTTTACTGTTTAGGGAAATAGAGGGAAACAACCCAGGGGGTAGATAAAGCCAAACCCATATTATGCCCAACCAATTCGAATTGGGGCGCGGGGGGGGGGCGGGGGTGGGGGGGGAGGGGCTGGACAATATTGCTTGCACGGGACATGTATCCTTTCAATCCTTTCATAGGAAGCTGATTCGTGTATCTTCAAAAAATGTTTCAAGGGGTTCTGTGTCCACCCTCCATGAATCACACTCAAACATGAAGTCTTCCGGGTGTCTAAGAGACTCGGCGATTGGCTTACATGATGCTCGGTTGTCCTCATATACCACCAACATGCCAGACTGACTCAACTTGCACCTTCACCCACCACAAAGTAATCGCATTTTCCCGCTTATGTGAGAACCACAGGCACATGCACCGATGGTCACTCCTTTCCAACTGCAACAGAATCCGCCTCAAATAAACCTCCAAGACATCACCTCAAATTCAGCTTCCCTCTTATTGGTGGATTGAATTGGTGGATTGGATTGGTGATTGGTCTCCCCCTGTACCCTCTACAAGGAGCAGGGGTTCAAATCCCCACCCGAAACATAACGTCGGTTTGGAACTTTTAGTCAGGCGATCCCGACACCCGGGCAGGCGCAGCGGCCGCTCGTACTTTGTTCGCGCGCACGGAAACTCATTGCGGCTACAGCTTGGACTTCTCCTGCGACACGGGGCTTTCGGATTGGGGGTTGCTTCGGAAAAAACAAGAAGAAAGTTCAGTTCGAACACCAGCTGTTTCCCATGTGTTTGTTTCCTTCTTCTTTTTGTGTGGCGTTCTAGAAAGAAGGATCCCTGGAAAGAAGGGGGAAGCGATCCTTACACTTTCGCGCTTTTTTGTGCGGTTTGGGGGTTGAAAGGGAACCTAGAGGTTGGTTGAAAGGAACCAGAGGCTCTATTTAACGACCCACCCACACTGGAACAAGGCGAGAGGGCATTCTTTGTCCTCGGCATCCCAAAAAGCGCGGGGAATCATGGCGAAGCGAGAAAGAAGGCGCAGGCTGAGAGTACGGAGACCATGTAGAACAAGCAGGAAAGTACGTGGAGAAGCTTGAGGGACCTCCAACATCCTTTCAAAATGATCGCTCCGCTCAAGCTCCAAGCTGAATGCGGCAAATATGTCCCTTGAAGCGGTGAGACAAACCGGCCCTGGCCAAAGCGATGGCTGCGCCAAGGGGCTTGGTTACACAGGGCTCAGAACTCACATTAAATTGGCCCAAAAGGTGAAGAGGATTCAACCTCGCCAAACCACCAGTCCTGATCAACTGTTGACCAGAAATTTGGCGAGGGTTGCTGGACTCGGGTCGCTCGCCCGGCGTCGAGTTGCAAAGCAAGCAAAGCCAACAGGATTCGGTCTGTGGGCGCGTCTTTTTTTAGGGCACCCCCCCTAAACCGGTTGTTTTCCGTTGGTTTCCCAATTTAGCGCCACCAAAAGAAGGATCCCTGTAGCACGATTTTCAAGGAGCGCCAGCTCGGCGGAATTTGTGGCAGCTCCGGTCCTTGTCCAACCAGGGCTTTGGGGAGCTCGCCTCAGGCGTTGCGCAGGACTCGACAGGACTCTTCCTTCAGATGCGGCTCAAAATTGAACAGCTACGGTTGCGCAGGTTTTAATCTTTGGTTCCATTTACCAAGGGGCCATTTTGGAACCACTTATTTGAGCCACGGCCAGATATTGGCAAATGAAACTGTTGACATGACTGGGCTGCCCGTGTTCGGATCCCCCGCTAAAAGTGACTAACTTTTAGTGGGTTAAATGGAAATCCCCACTAATCCCTAACAAACTAAAAGGCGAAGGGGTTGGCCGGGAGCCACCAACTTGACATGATCAAAAGGGTCTGTCTTTTGTCGGTGGACTCCCCAAAATCGTGGTTTTCCTTTTGGTTTCCCATTGAAACCATCAAACAAGGGGTATCCCAGAAAAGAGACTGGATAAGACAAGCACTTTCGCTCTAGCGCTCTCGATAGACGGTGAATGACGGCTAGCTCGGGCTCGCGCTAGCTTGCAAAGGTGAAAGCCGCTTGTTGCAAGGCTTATCAACCCAGCGGCAACCAAAATCCCGTTCGTACCCCCAGTGAACATCCCAATCCCCACTAAAATGGACTAAAATGGGTGGTGCACCTATCCCAAATGGTACCATTGGTTTTGACCAACAGCCATCGGTTGCAAGGCTTGTCAACCCAGCAGAAAACTTCAAGCGACTGACATCGCCAAGGCGCGGTTCATGTTTTTGTGAACTCACCATTCTCAGGCGAAATCAAACCAGCTTACAAGAAACATTGTTGGCCCGCAAGCTTCCCGAGAGTCACGATTGGCCCGCCAAACAAACCGGGCTTTGTGTGTGTGTCAGATGTGTCACCAAATCACATTCAGGCCCGACTTTTGGTCGGAAGCTTCTTTCACAGACCGGGAGCAAGAGAACACATCGAGGTCAAAACAGGTTAACATCTTGAAGTTGACGCCGAAAGATCTGGGCTGCCAAGTGACTAACTTTTAGTGGGTTAAATGGAAACTATCACTCAGTTGTTCAGTGACCCCGGAAAAAGAAGGGAACCCTTTTTGGGGAAGACCATTTGTAGTTTTTTAGTGGGGCAGCCACCTAAAAAACGGGGGAGAAAGGGGGCCACTGAACAACTGAGTACAAGGCTAAAAAGCTAAGGAACCGGATGGCTGGGAGCCAAGAGATGGTAGCCGAGTGGACACGGCCGCTTCTCGATTTTTCAGCTGCAAGGCCCCTTGCTCTGACGCCAAGATACTAGGTCCTCCAGATTTGAGAGGTTAGACTTTTCTGGGTACCAACCCTTTTCTGGACGTCTATTTTAGTAGGGGAACCCTCTCAACCAAAAAAACGTGAAAGAGCGGGCGCCGCTCGCTGGGGGACCCAGCTGGGGGAGTCCCAAACACCGCCCGCACCTGCGACTTCCAACTGGGCCGCGCGGCGCAAACGCGGATGCCGCGCTGCACCGCCGGGCGGGCTGCAATGCGGTCCTGCCGGAAAATGTTTCCGGCTCGGGGCGTGCAAATTTTTGCGGACGAACCAGGAAGACTTGAAAAAGGCGTCATGACCTATGACTTCTGACTTACCCTATGGAACCTGACGGGGTGCTGGAGAACCAGTTTCCCCCGAGAGGTGGGAGGCTACAGTGCAAGCCCGCTGGCAGGTGTTGGATGGGGTTCTTCAAACTTGATCTGACCCTGACTCAATCGCAGCAGCTGAAAAGCGAGAGGGGCGTTTGCCGAAATCTGCGTGTCAACGACATATCTCTGGCCATGGATGGCCAGAATGGCCAAGGGTAGGCCATGCCCAGCCCGCGGCCTAGTCAATGAACAAATGATGACTCATTGTCTTAAGTCAAAACTGCTTGCACAAATGGCGGTGAGCTTGTGACAGTTCAAAACACCCCCAACGCATTGTGGATGATTCCTCCTACACGCTGTGCATGAAGTACATACATAGCCGATGGGGCTTTCATTGTTTATACCATGTCCTAGAAGAAACAACAGACACATGGGTGTGGCTTAAAATCAAAGAGCTAGAGCAAACCGCAGGCTTTAGCCTCTGGTTACATTTACCCAGGTGCCATGGTACCTGGTTTTGAGCCACCCCCGCACTCCTGATCAACCAACGATACCTGCCAGTGGAATATTCCCCCCCTCCCCCGTAGGTGCTGTAGGTGCCGTAGTCGCTGAGCTCAAGGCAATCCAGGCTTTCAAATGGGTGTACTTGTCCATGCCCAAGAAATCCTGACAACTTCGCTTCGATGGAAGAAATGGGTGTGCCATTTTTTGGGACCAACAAATTGTGGTTCTCCGGTGGGCTTAGCAGAAACGACACCTTCGGCCTTCACGCTACACAAACGGAAACTGTCGGCTTGAACAGACAACTCTTGGCACATCTTGAAATGAAAGGTGGGAATTAAGTGCCACAGGTTGTACGCCTTGCCCTCGTGTGGTGGGGAAACCAGGTCAACAAAAGCGGTTATTGACAACACTCGATTTCACCCATCTGCAGCTACACAACAAGCCAACCACCCGCTGTTGGGAATCAACATCAAGCACGGCATGCACACACACACACACACCCACACCTTGAATACGGACTGTATTTGAAGTAAACTCCTATACCTTTGCAAGCATGGGATGGTTTCCATTTTCTGAGCTCAGGAGTGGGTGTGGGATATTGTGGCAAAACCCCCCACTAATCCAACCCTCCTTGGGAATTGTCAGGGGAGACACAGTGAAACAGATTCCTCAGAGGCCTCGGGTCTTCTCAAACAAATGGAGCCTGCAAATGGCTGTTTTGATGCATGTGATGCATGTGTGGTCCTGCTGACACACCAAAAGGCTTCTCAATTTTGCCACACACACACATCCATCTTACCATCTTGTCTGCCCCGTTGCCACGGAACAGAAAAGTTGCTCATTGGTCCTTAGAGCGCCCCCCGAACAAGAACAACGAGTGTGCTGGATATCTAGGTACATGTTGGCACATGTGTGGGTGTCTTTCTTGGGGAGCGCCTTTTTGGTTGCTTTATGGTTGGCTTTAAAGGAAAACTAATTGGAAAGCCACCATTTGGGCGGGGGGCTAAAAAGAGAAGGTATACTACCCTCCCACCAACTAACATGGAAGTGCAAAAAGGCCCTTGCCAAGAGAAAAAGCTGTCTTTCTACAGCAGGGATCCTTCCATTATACACCTGAGCATTGCCTTGTAAATGGTGGCTTCCCTTTATTTTTGGTGGGTTAAAAGCAACATGTTTCAAATGGTGGCAAAATGAACTTCTTTGAAGGAGCCCTGTACAGGGGAACATCTTTTGTGGCTCTAGCTCTGACAAGCTGAACACCTATGCCTTCGCGTCGGGCTGGCCAGGTCTGTTGTAGCCCGAGCCTTGGGTCTAATCAATCCTCCGCGCTCCAGACATATCCGAAACTTCTAGGGCTACCTCCCCCATTCTAAACCCAGGGATTCGAATCTTTCTAGAAAACCCAGGGAAAACCCAGGGAAACCGGATCCGGATTTTTTTTTTTTTTTAAGAACGATGGTTGAAAAGAATGGAAAAGGAATCAACCCCTAGAAAACCGATTGATTCCTATCCCCGTGACTAGTTTCTGGCTTTCAAACAGCTTCACTTGGCATCACAGCAAGTGTCCCTAGAGCCCAGCTTTTCTACAACCATGCTGGTGCAAGCTGTGATGTATCCTGGTTTTGGTGTATGGTGTATGCGGGAATGTCTGCAGCCCTGTCTACCAACTTTACATGCGAGGTGTGTGCAGCGGATTGGCTTGAGAAGATGGATGAAACAAAACAACCTCGGCAATGGGCATGGACACCATACCCCCTCATTGACTCCGTGGCAGAGAACAACGCCCAGTTTCAAGCCATGCCAGTGAATGGTGCAAAACGGTCATTGCCAACGTGCGGAGTGGCTTGTCGCGGAGCCTTTCATACTGCCTAGAGCAGCTGGGGTTGTGGTTCCCTTGTGACAAGCACTGTCGACTACAAGAAGTGTTGAGAGAGCACTGGTTTTCCATAGTCCAGCATCAGTCTACACATCTCTTGCACCAGGCAGCTTGTCTACGCTGAACCAGTGTCAAGTGGCCTACGTTTCATATAATTACTCCTTGTGAGGGTCATGACCACGGTTGGCCGGTATTCGTTCTACTGGTTATTTAGCGATCCATGCCCAGGTGTTTGGACCCTGGCACACCCGTCTGTTTCTTGCAAGTTTCAGCAGCCAGCGGTACATTGCAAGTCAGATGAAGCAGCTTTTGCCGCAGTGCCGTAGAGGTTCAGGTTCCATCACTGGGTATGGGTCATTTGTTTTATGCCAGGAATTGGACCGCAGGTTTTAGTCCATTCCATTTGCCAGGGCAACCCGTTTTGAGTAGCTTTTTTTTACCCTCTCACTGCGAAAGGATGTCCATAGGAGGAAAGGGATGCTTGCTCTTAGGCAAGCTACACGCCCAAGACGCGGCTGCTTCGCGTGTCAAAGCCTACTCGCTCCGAATGACCAACCCGTGAGTGGGGACACATGTGGTGATATGTTCAGTCAATCCTGACCACAAATGACTCTTATGACAGAATCACGCATTCTACATAGTACACACACACACATGTGACGGCTTTTCCAGCCTGACTCAAATCGAAGAACCTACAAGTCATGCTTGAGGAAGGCTGAAAATGATTCAATGCCACACGTTCCAACAGTTCCTTCCCACCTCTCACATGCCGATCTTAGTGCCGCGCGCCACAGCATGTAGGCCCAGGGAAAGCATGCCTCGCTCCAAAGTTCTCAAGCGACCCCAACGGAAGGAGCCAAGAACGCTCGGCATCGCTTGGGATGACGGCACACCTCCGTTTGCTTAAGTCGCCTGAGAAACAAATATTTCCAGTAGTGATAGATTATCTGTAACACCTACAGGGGAAAATTAACAAACATATTCTTAACCAAATGGAAGCACAACATCCATATATGATCCAAAGCGGTGCACGTTTCTCCAATTCGGGCCTGCATGACATCAACGTGTTTTTTTTTGGCTCACGCAACAGCTTGGCCTTTGGGCCTCAGGGCAGTTCCAGCCAATTCGCATCGAAGGACCGATATGTTTGCGCCAGTTTCCTCGCTGTTGGATCTGTGTACAAGAGGGAACGATATTTCGGTGGAGATGCTGTCCGTGGAGCTTTATGTCCACCCACCGATTTGGAGGGTGCTCCCAATTGGAATGCATCGCCAAGTAGAACAATCACAAACAGGGGGCTCTTCTTACACTTTGTTTGGCACAGGTGCGGTATCTCAATGACAATTCTGCACGTTTTGTTCTTGGGCCTTACATATTTCTACAAAGGCAGTCGTAAAAGGGCCCTCATCGCAAACAGCTGTGGTTCTCTTTGAAGAGATAGTGTTCGGTCCTCTTCCTGCGGGCTGCTGGGACCAAAGATGGGCAAAGTGAGACAACTGATATCCTCCAACTAACATGGCACCTGTGAGAAGGCACCTGGAAGATTAATATCCACTTGAAGGGACCTCCTCTCAGTTGCCATGTTAGTGCGAGGGAGGGTAAGCCATCTCCTTGGTCCTTTGGGAAAGTCATCCAATGCGGTTCTTTCAGCATCTAGGAATCTAAAACAACACTTTTGCCCCTGAACCCACTAACATGGAGACTGGAAACCAACTGGAAGCCCCTGGAAGATCATGTTCTTCTTGCCCGCGCCTGGTGGTTTCCATAACATCAATAGTCCTTCTGCAACCCGACAAACCCGGCCATTGACACATCACCTTGTGAGAGCTGAACATGTAAGCCCGGAACCATGTCAGCGATGGTGTACCGGTCGCCCACCTCACAGCAAGTGTCAACCAGAGTTGTGAGCTCACTTGGGTGTCTCAAAGGAAAGCTCAAGGAAACCTGAAGGAAACCTCAACCAGGTTCTGTAGTAGAGAGGTTAGAATAAGGGTCCCGTTTCTTTCTTCTGTAGTCTATTTTAGACACGGGGAACCCTCCCCCCAAAAAGAAACGGTAGAAGGGACATAGCTGGGGGACCTAGTCAAGCAAACCTCAAGGAAACGCCCAGGAAACCAGCTATCCCCTAAATTTTGAGAAACATCCAAGTGCGTCAAGAGCCAAGGCTCCTACGCGCCTGGTTCCCTTTGACTCGCATCACAAGCCGCATTGTAAGTGAGCATAGGCCTATAGATGCTGAAACCCGAGGAACTGAGTTCCGCAACAGCCTGGCAGCTTCTCTCCAGATTCAGAAATCCGAGAAATGCCATGCTGGGCATGAATTACAGCGCCATGGTGGGGTGCCAAGTTTTCAAGTAGCCCCAGTCATCTTGGACACGTACAGACTCATGTGCTCAAGGTGCGAGAAGGGAATCCCGTAGCCAGCAAGTTGAAACGTCAATCAGAAAAAAACAATTCATTGAGGAAATGGAAGTACTCCAAGCTCTCCCGGTCCCAAAGGAAAACCGATGGGTTTGCCTATAGGGCCTATTGGCAGCGACTGGGAAGGATCGGACGCAGTTTCTCATGCTGACAGTCTGTGGGAGGGTGGAAGGCTAGTTGAGCATACGCCCTGGTCGCTTGCACGAGATCAAGAGTGTATTCCATAATTGGCTTGTACTTGATGTGCAGGGTCACGCGAAACAAGATTGAAACCATGACAAACGCGAGTGGAGTGGCCGCTTCCAGCATCATTGTTCTTCAATGGGCAAGTCGAATCCTAAGTCGCCCTAAAGTGGCACTGGCCGGAACATCAGGATGTAGAAAGATGTTAAAATAGGGATGAGTATCCGTCAAAGTTCCCTGCCCTTAGACTTAAATCCCCCTTCCTCCAACAAGAAGTTTTCAGCGTGTTTTTGCAAAAAAAAACTGGGAAAGGTCTTCTATCGAAACGGAAAACCCGGGCACTGGACCCCGAAAGTGCCAAGGGGCCAAGAACTCGCGGGGAGAACTCGTGTTCGCTTCCCCGGAGAAGTCCCCGCAGCCTGCGAGGTGCCGATCCTCGGTCGGGGCTGAGCAGGGCTGTGGGAAATTGAATCCACGAATCTGCGATACGACAAAAAGGGCTTCCCAAAGACGAACACCCCCAAAAAGAAAGGGGGAGATTCCCTTGTATCACAGAAGTGGGGAAAAAGCCTGAGTGATCCCACAACCCTGTTCTCACCCCAAACGAAGAAACATACTGTGGACGGGTTGCGCAATCCAGAAATCGCACGACATGACACGATGGGAAACCAGCATTTCTTGGTAACAGGGGAATCATGGTTCAGGATTTCGACCAGCAGTATGAGAAATCCAGAAAATCGCACCACGAAATGACATGGATGAAACCAGTAAATTTGTTGGCATTTACGTCAGGGGCATCATCATAAACCTGGGTTTCTTAGGTGGTGCGAAATAGATTTCGTCCATCACCGCATTTTCAATTGGGGACCATTTGGACATCATTTGGGTGGGGATTTACGCCCACCACTTTGGAGCTGGTTCCCCATTGAAATTCATAATGGCCATCACTCAGTTGGGATCCAGGAATGAAAGGTTATTATTTTTCGGGGCCATGACTAGAACAGGGAATCCAACAGGTTGAAAGGAATACAAGGCTATATCAGCTTCCTACTAATTGGTGGTTTGGTGATTCAGGGGCTTCCGATTAACCCTCAACAAGAACCAGGGCTTCAAATCCAAATCAAAACCACCAACCCGAACCACCAACCCGAACCACCAAAACCTAGGGGTTGCCTGATTTTATGAGCCATGTCCAAAACTCCTGTGACCGATTGGGTCATGGTTCCCTCGAAAGGGCGATCAAGGATCCTCACTGCCAGGTGGGCAACCATTGTTTACCCCAAGTTGTCCATGGCACGTATGGGTATGTGTCAAAGACCCCCCAACCTGGCGGTGTTCCTTTCGGCTTCTCCTACCAAAAAAGGGTACTCTCAAAAAAAAACAGCCCCAACAACTAGGTAACCAAACAAAAACTGTGCTTTCGGTTTCAGGGTTCCCTTAGGTATAGTAGTTGCCCCATGTCCAAGCATCCTTAGCATAGTTTGGGCGTCCCAAAAGAGCCACGGGGAAAATGGGGAATCAACCTGAGACATGGACGGTCTCCTTTCCCTCTGGTTCCAACCGGTTCGCAGTTGCCCCTCTGCTTCCCCCAGAAACGCGCCTGGGCTTCCATGTGCGAAGCCCCTTGAAAAGCAACACAAATCCTCTCAAAGTGGGGAGCGGCCGAAGAGCTGAGGTCGACATATTTTTGCGGCAAACTCTCCGAACCCTACCCATGCATCAGTTTCTGTTAAAAGCGCCAATCATCCAGCCTATCCGAAACTCTTGCCCGTAAGTATGTTCATATACACATGTGTCGTTGCCTGATTCAAATCACTTGACCATGGGTCAAAATCCAAATCGTACCCCCAGTGAACATCCCAATCCCCACTAAAATTGGTTCTACAATGGGTAGTGCACCTACCCCAAAATGGTACCCTTGTTTTTGACCCACAGCCACTTGGGTGCAAAGTCATGGGGCGGAGGCCCTCTTTGGGGGTTCCAGAGAGGGCCGAAAGCCCCACGACGTCACTCCGAGGCGACGGCCAGGACGGAGCAAAGCCTCTGCACCTCACAGAAGCTTGGCATCGAACTGCCCAGTGCTACCAGGCGCTTGCCACTTTTTAGGGAACCAGAGATATGCTTCATGCATGTAAAAACCTAGAGGTAAAAAGTAACATGGTTGCCTAGTACGGTGGAAGCACTAGGCAACCAGGGACTTGTTTCATCATGTTAAAACCTAGAGGCAACAAAAATGAAATGGTTACCTCTTATGGTGGAAGTGTTAAAACCTAAAGGTAACCAAAACAAGTTACCCATTCTGGTGGTAACTGGAAGCACTGAGGTGAGCCATGGTCACAGGATAATTCGACAGGAACAAAAAATGCGTTCGTTTTTCGCCCCTTGGCAACCCGGGCGGGTCCCGTCGACAGTCGCTCGCGGCTCGCGGGACCCGGCGGTCCCGGCCTCCATCCCATAGCGCGCCACGCCGTAGTTGCGCGCTTCCACCTGGCGAGCGGAAATTCTGCCACCCGAGCTGGGCGTGGGGCAAAACTACATTAGGAATCGGACCGCAGGTTTTTTACCCATTTTGGGGTTATCCTATGTGTGACCCACATCCAAATTTCGGTTTGGCAAACTGCAATTTGATGAACTCACGGCCACCCTCCGGCTAATCTTCCTGGTTCTGCCACCCAGTTTATCTTGGCTTAAACTACTGCAATTTGATGAACTCACTGCCTGAGTGGGTGGTTGGGCCAGCCATTTTGTTGTTTGGCAAACTACTGCAAATTGATGACTCATTTTTTGAGTTGGCAAACAACAATCCGAACATGGTAATAATTTGCCATTGACATGGTCTCACTTCCTGAGTGGCTTGGCAAACAAAAATCAAACAACTTGGTATTTACCACGAAAACGGTCCAACCCCCCAAAGCTTGAAGTCCAACTCAGGCCTGGATTTTGGGTAAGCTCGTTTCACCAGATGGCTCGCAGAATTTGCTTTCTCCTCAGAGTTACTTGGCCCCCATATGCAAAATGTTCCCAGCCAGCTAATAGATTCTTTGGGGGATGGAACCAAGGCCAAGCTTCCTATTGAAAAGCGTGTGCAGTGGCAGAGATCCAGTCCCATCTTCTAAAGCGAAAACCAGAACATCCGGGAATCTTTGACCTGGGCTGTGGCAAAAAAACAGGGATGCCACCCAAGGGCGGGAGCATGGGTGGCCGATTTTCCCTAAAGGACTCAGCCCCCAATGCTCAGACACCAAGGCAACACTTGGGCCATACTTGGCTCTTGCGTTAAGACACCCGCACTCGTGCAAGGAACGAACCCATGCACGCACGCACACACACACACACACACACACACACACACACACACACACACACACACACACACACACACACACACACACACACACACACACACACACGCACCCACACACACGACACAAACTCGCACGCGCCACGCTCACATCTGGATGCCATGGAAACGCAAACATGCACAAAGCAACCCCCTCCGTCGCCTGCTCATCAGGCGCATACACCTTGAAGTGACCGAAGTTGCCCGTCATTGGCCTCACGACTCGGAAATCCGAAATCCGCTTCCCAACCAACGGGGTGGTTTGGAGTTCCCAGGTGGCTTCCCATTTTTTTCCTCTATCGGTGCAAATCCCCTAGAATCAATCCAAACCATCACTTGAGGGTTACCTAAAGACATGTTCTTGGTCAAAAAATGGCATCCTGTTCAGACTTGCCACCAAGCCGCGTGCATTAATTAACATCGTGCTTTAAATGAAACTATATATTATATGTATGCATTGACATATACGCATGCATACATACATGTACATGCACTGTCGGTACGTTTGACATAGACAGGCAGATAAACTCAACTGGGTCAAAGTAAGAGACCTACTGGCTCTTGGTACAACCTGGGCGGCAACCCAATTCTTAGGTGTTGAGATGATGATGATGATGATGATGATGATGATGATGATGATGATGATGATGATAATAATAATGATGATGAGTTTCATGGAGGCGGCCACGGCCAAGCTTGTGCATCAAGATGTGTTTCATGGTCCTTTGATCCCTTACCACTTGCGTCAAGAGTGTTGTCTGATACCTGTATCTGGGCGTGTCTTTGGACCCCGAAAATGGTGGCTGTTCCTTGTGTCAACTTTTAACACTAACCCAAAAAGGGTATCCTCAACAAAAGACAGACCCAGGGAGCTAACAAGGATCCCTGCCTCACACAAATGCAGCCTTGTCACTTCCAACGGACTCGCCCGACTTTTCTCACCAAGCTCCCACAAGCAGGCAACCCCTTGCTACCTCCTGATTACACCTGAGGAAGTCTGCGCAGTTAAAACCAGGAGGTCGAACATGAACATCATGTGCTCTAGCGCTACCTTCCCCATTCTTTCCAGGGATCCCTCTTTCTAGAAAACCTCTGGAAACCCAGGGAAACGGATCCGGTGTTCGAAAAGAACGATGGTTGGAAAGAATGGAAAAAGGAATCAACCCTTAGATGTGCGCTATCCGGTTTGCTCATGATCTTCTCGTGTTTCACCATGGTTTCCCTTGGTCCACTCGACTCCTCTTGGTCCCACGCCCCTGCCCGGCGGACTGCCAGAAGAGCCACTGCAGGCACTCGTAGCGGAGCCTGCCGGCTCGAAGGCCCTTGTTGACTCCTTCGTTCCTTTGTACTGCTTTTTGGTTTCAATAGTCTAAGGGTTGATTCCACGGCCATTTGGGTGTGTCTGAATTTCTTCTTGGACCCTCCAAGATGGTGGTTTCCTTGGTTTGCCAAAAAAAGACTCTCTCTCTAGGGGTTGATTCCTTTTCCATTCTTTCCAACCATCGTTCTTTTCGAAAACCGCATCCGTTTCCCTGGGTTTCCAGAGGTTTTCTAGAAAGATTCGGATCCCTGGAAAGAATGGGGAAGGTAGCGCTAGAAAAAGGGGGGTTTCCCTGTGTGGTGATTTTTAACCCAAGGTGAGTTTGTTTTTCGTGCGCCTAGGGTCGGTCGGATAGAACTCATCACAATTGAGCTTCTCCGCAAGGTAGATCATGATGGCTGCACTCTCCTTGCGAGCCCAGCTCCACTTTAGCAAATTTGCTAACATCCTACCCGCCTCATGATGGGATTCTGCTAGGCAACAGGAGCCCAGCTTGTTCAGCATGGCCGATTTCTGTGGACACCCATCACTTTCAGAGACATCGATCCAACCGGCCAAGCCATGAGGCTCAGGATTGCCGCCGACTCGCCGAGCCGAACCCAACTCAAAACCTGAACTCCAACCGCACAGAGCCAGTGAAGGAGCTTCTCATGAGGATACATCTTTGAAGGCTCACTTAAAGAGACCTCAAGAAGAACACCGCCATTTTCCTTCGGGGGGCACAGGTATTTTGCCATTTTACCCATTCATTTTGGGTCAACACCATATTTTTTGGGGGGGCATGGGTACCAGGTCCTCCAGTAGAGAGGTTAGAATAAGGGTACCAACCTTTTTCTATATATTTTAGTAGGGGAACCTCCCCCGAAAAAGGGGTAAAAGGGCACTACTGGGGGACCATTTAAGCCGTTTCCTTTTGGGGGAACAGGTATTTTGCCGCATTACCCATTTCTCCTGGGTCAACCCCACCATTTCTTTTGGGGGGCATTGGGTATTTTGCTGACTCACTGAGGTCCCGTCCATGATGGCCATCGGCTGCCCATCCGGCCCTTCGCGGTCCACTAGAGCCTTGGGGCATGGAATCCACATGAGCCGCACAGCCCCAGAAAGCTTCAGCTGAGTCATCATCAAACCCCGGTATTAAACTGGTCGATCCCCAGAACCAGGCTTCAAGAATCAAGAAGGCGGATATCCGCAACTATTTCTGGCTGGGACTGCCCCTTACTAACCTTCATCTACCCAGGTTTTGATTGTGGCTCACCTTTTTTTGCGGGGGATCTCCTGTTCGGGGATGGCCTTTTTCGGGATGGGTTCCATGTTCATTTGCAAGGGACTAAGAACAGTTCCATGTTCATTTGCAGGGGAGCAAGAACAGTTCCATGTTCATTTGCAGGGCAGCCAAAACAGTTCCGTGTTCATTGCAGGAGTGTAAGAACAGTTCCATGCTCATCTGCACCGGATTAAGAGCAGACCACCCGGTTGTTTGTGGCCAACTGACGTAGTCAATTGCAAATGGTCAGAAAAACCGCACGGCCGGGCACCGCTGGACACCAGCTCCCCTTTGTTTGTTCCCTTTCAAAGGCCTCAAGCACCAAGGCATCCCTTTCAACCTAAGAACCCCAGACATGAAACTCAGATTCTCCTCTGCTTTGCGTTTTTTACCACAATACTCAGATGCCCAAAGGACCCAAGAAAGGTCTACCCTTTGGAACCATGACAAAAAAAAGGGAGGAAAACCGCCAATTTGTGCGGTCCTCGAAGAAAAAGCAAAAAACACTTGTTGAACCTCATTCTTTATGTTCAGAACCTCTACAGGGTTTCCGTTTCTCAAAACCCACACCCCGCCAGCCGAAACGTGTCTCGGCCGCCAGCCGGGATCTTGGAGTTGGGAGTGGCGCCTTGGTCGGCTTCACTTTAACAAAAACTTGGAGGACTCACCCGGGAGCAAAGGCAAAACATAGGAAACCAAAACCTATTAGATCATGATCCGCCCAAGGAAAACTCAGGAGGAAAAAACCAGAACATGAAACCAACATCTATTAGATCTTGATCCCCCCAAGAAAAACGACTCCTAGTAGAGGCATATCCTTCCTTTTTGTTTGGGAGGGAGGCACTTCTGGAAGTCTCGTGTCGAGTTTCGGAGCAACGTCCATTAGTTGGACCACATCCCTACCTAGCGGCATAATGATCCCGAAGATCGAGTCGTGATTCTTCCCTAAAAAAGATTCTACGGAAGCTCCGCGCATCGGATTTCCCAACTGCCGCCTCCCTCGAAACGCTACGAAAACCGCCGAACGAAGCACCCTGAGCGGTGAGCCTACAAAGCCGGAGCTGAACTGCTGGCCTGCGCCTGCCATGAGGCCAAAGGCAAACCCCAGCCGAGCTGCATCGATTTGGACAAGCGAACAAGCGGGGATACGGAGGCAGCGCGGATATGGGGGGATTCCCTTGGCGCCATTTCCCATATCAAACTCAGTCAAGGTGCATTTAAGGGGAAGCCTCCCGTATCCCTGGTTCCCCCCGTATCCCTGCCAGTTGGCTTCCCTGCATCGATCCGTTTACGCCCCAAAACCCATTCGGATCAGAGGTCCAGCTGGTTATTTCAGACAGCTGCTCGTTTACCTTCCCTACCTCTGTCTTGAAACGAAGAGCAAGGCTCCTTCAGAACTGAGCAAGTCATCGTGCAACTGTAACTGATGGTCACATTCAGACAACAAACTCTTTGTAGGGATGGTCCTAAACTCAGCCACAAGAGTCGCCATAAAGACCTTGCAATTGTACTAAAGGGATCTACCCAAATCCATGTGAAGAATCAAGAGGGTGGATATCCGTAACTATTCATGGCTGTCTCCCATTGCCCGACAAATCTATCCGGCTCTTGATTGTGGCTCACTAGAGCACCCCAAGAAGGCAGAATGCAGTGGAAAGATCAAACATGTGTGCTGATGCCATCAAGCATCCATCTGGCATTTCATCGAGCCAAATGGTTTGCCGGCTGTCAAGCACATCTGTCACATATCTAGCCCGTTTCCAGATCCACACTGTCGGCAAGCAAGTTGCAAAAAGGCGCCACGCCTATGTTGATCACATGGGCATCATACTCGACAGCCAGCTCCTGCAAGGACCCCCCAAGAGCGTCCAACTGCGACCTTCCCGCCCCGGCACCTCCAACCCCCTGCCCTCATGCTGTGCTCCCACCCAATTGGACATCTGGCCCATGAACTCCTTTGTAACTTTGCCCAAAATCCATGGCGCCTTGGACCCATGTACACTCCCAAGGGCAAAGCGTACCGTTTGAATGCGCAAAACCATAGTTGCCACGTTGAGAACACATGGAGCCACTCTAAGAGGTGAACACTTCGTGTCTTCTTTGCAGCAGCCTATTCTTGTTGTGCGAGTTTTGAGATGCAAATTTGATGCAAATTGCTAAGTGAGCAGCCTCCACGATCCGCTTGATTGGCTCCAAGAATTACAAGGGTTCTCCTAGCCCTTGCTTTAACTCTGATAAAGCCTTGTAGCAGAACCACCCACCAATAGGGGGCTGCCAGTTTCGCCAGGTTCTAGAAAAGGAACACCTTCTTACAAACGATAGTTTGGTCAACCCATTTGAGTATGTCCACTCCCCTGCAAACAAAAACCATGGACACAAAACAAGCGCACGTTTCGAGGAATCTCATTTTGGGTGAACCCCTTTGATTTCTTGTGCATGTTCTTACATATAGCTCAGAAAGACCTTATATGCTTGGCTGACGTTGGAAGGGGAGCAAAAATTCTCAACTTTTAGCAGTTAAGTGGTTGGATTTCAACCACTAAACCACAATAAGCACAGATCGATGTAACATGTTTCCCGACGACAACCATGTATTGCCCTCATATAGTTTGTACATCACCCGCGGCAAAAACGGGGGGCTTTGGGGGCAGTGGACCCTGTTGGGCTCGGCCCCTGCCTCCAGCAGAATGCCCACCTTCCAGCCATTGGGCGTGGCCAAGGAGTAGAGCCTCGGAGCGAGTGACGCGCGACGAGTGACGTGGGTTCTTTCGGATTGGTCAGGCGAACCAGCATTTTGCTTGGATGCTAGGACTTCAACTTTTTGCCAACTAGTGGGTTTCCCATTAAACCACTAAAATTTATTCACTTTTAGCAGGGGAGCAGAAAGCAACCGCCAAAGAGATGGAAACCCACCCCACCTGTTCGTTCAAAGACAAACCGAGGCTTTGGGGGACCCCACCTGTTGGTAGGACAAAGCAAGGTTTTGGGGGGAACCCTGTATTGCCACGTGGCTTAATGCTGGTTTTTAATTCCTGCTTGGGGCAAGGGCGGGCTCAGGAAAGACCGGCGAAGTTGTCACTAGTTGAGAGCCAGTTGCCATGAATGACCACTGGTCATTGAGTCATCGCCTGGTCAAAACGGGCCTAGGCCTCGCAGTAAAGCAGGGAAACCACCGCCCAAAAGTAAATGCGTCCCATCTGAGCATTGAATACCCCAAATTAACTCAGCGAGTGACGAAATCCGTTCCAAGCTCTGACTGCAACCGCTGAGTGCTGCCCCATGCGCGATTTTACGGCCCGCGCATGCCCGGCAGGTACAAAGGGAAAGCGGCAAGCGCTGGCCCGTTTTGGTCGGCGAGCAGTGTCCACAAACCCCCCCTTCGGTGGATAGTGTTCCTGTTGGCTTCCTAACAAAATGGTTTCCTGTTGGCTTCCCCGCACTCCAGACAAGTGGGGTGAAGGGGTTCTAGGTTGGCCACCTCTTTTCTTGCGGACTCAGCAGCCCTTGTCTTGGACAAGGCTAGGAGCAATCTGCAGACTCGCCACAAATGTGGCAAAAACCGATTTCAGAGCTGGGGCAGCCGTGACAGTTGGGGCATCGGCACCTCACATGGCGCGTGGCAGGAGCGGGGTTCCCCCTTAAACATCACCCCAAACGAGGACTCACAATCCACGTCGGCCCAAAGAAGCAGGTAGAAGGACTCCTGAATACAATCTGACAATTTTTGAGACGTTCTGGAAAGCGTGATTCTTGCCTCATCTGCACAAGCGATCTCCCAAAGAAGAGCCGTGGGCAGATGGGTAGAACCATTGGCAAAAAGGAGTGCAGCCAACACTCTTCTGTGTATCCAACAAGTACGTTGTTTTCATGATTCCTCACAAACAGCATTCCAACCACGATTGCCAAAGGTGCAGTGAGTAGTGAACCAGAACCTTACAGCAAAAGATCAAGTCAACAAATGAATCTGTCTGAGAAGGCGCCATCTTGGTAAGCCGTCGGACCGTGCGTGTGTCTCAGAAAATGGCTGAAGGGGGAGATGGTCAGGGCCAGACACTCTTCGCAAGCACCTCTCACTTGCTCTAAAGAGACTCTGGCATTGGCCGCCTTTGACAGATATCGGCTTTCCTCCAATTGGTGGTTTGGTGGTCAAGGATGGGGTTTCCCATTTACCCCCTACAAGAACCAAGGGTTCAAATCCACAAACCACTGAAGAGTGTTTGCAACTGCAAGTTCGCTGCTGCTCATTCAAGCCAGAGTAGCTGCAATTATCCTAGCATGTTTGGCATTCGACATGACATAGAATTCAACTACAATCCTGTATGGAAAGACAAGCTGGTCGGTTGTCTGCCTCTTGCAAGGAATGCAAAAGCAATAGAAATCCAAGGAAAGCACAATTTCAATTCCATTGGTTTACACGTTCTAAATTGCAAATAATTTAGATGGGACTCGAATAGAATCTAATAAGGAAAGACAAGCTTGAAGTTTCTTCTAATTTGCAAGGCCCTTAAAAGGCGTGAACAACCAGTAAAATCCATGGGAAAAGCAAATTCCATTCCTGTTGGTTTGCGGATAAGTTTAAATGATATTTGATTAACACTCGATGTAAATTCGTACTTTAACACTGGATGTTAAATACATGGCACGTCCTTTCCAAGTAGGATTTCAATTATAACTTCTGTGGAACCCTTGTTTTGACTCAGATGTTAGATGCAGTAAGACTTTAAACATGACGTCTATCCAATTCCAAGTGGGCATTCCCTTCCAAGTAGGATTGCAATTAGACTTTCCTGGAGATTCATTCTCTGGCCTTTTCCTTGGCGTTTTGGTTTCCTGGTAGTTTTGGGCGTGTTGGGCATTCTAAGTGACTCCTAGGGTTTTTGTCCTACCCCCAAACCCAAAGAACGTCTTTTTGCGATTAGCAGGCGTTTGCGGGGTTTTGCGGGCTTTTTGCGGGCTTTTTGCGGGCGGTTTGCGGGTAATTCCGGGCGCGGAAATCGTAAAAGGGATCAATTCTGAAATCTCATCAACATATGAGTTTTAGTAGTTTTAGGCGACTTCACGAAAAAAACATCAAGATTCAGGAAAAGCAAGTTAAAGACGAGAGCTAACCGGAAATTCGTGGAGAATGAATCTCCAGGTTAGCTTGAATAGAACACAACTAGAAATCATCAATTATACCTTAACTAGATAGAATCTAGCAATGAAAGACAAGCTGCTTTTTTCTTCCAAGCGTTACAAACAACAAACATAGCTATGTTGTCGGAATCAACAATAATTCCTTGCCAAGTATCGAGGAATTTACCTACAACTAAAACATGCTAACAGCAGTAAATACACCCCACACACCCCGCAACCCCCCGACCCCGTGTTTTGTTTTCCGAAGCCGAAGGCACGGCCCCAGGCACTGCGCGCAGGGCGCCCGCACCTCCGCGCAGAGCTCGCAGCCCTGGAAGTCCCCGCGGCCGTGGCACTCCGTGCAGAGGCAGGCGCCTCTCTCCCGCCGGGTTTCGGCTCGGCGGGTTTTTCGGCGGGGTTTCTTTCGGCTGGGTTTTCGGGTGGGTGGTGGCGGAATATATATATATATATCCATGTGGCAGATTCCAAAAATTGGGGGACCAAATCTTTTCGGATGTTTTCAGGTGGGTTTTCCTTGGTTGACCTTGGAAGGGGAGCAACATTTCTCAATTTGTAGCAGTTAAGTGGTGATTTCAACCACTAAACCACAATAAGCAAAATGTAAAATGTTTCGCAACAACCATGAAGTTTCGGGTGGCAGGTGGCAGCTGGTGGAATGCATTTGGTGGACTCCAAAAATTGGGTGCCCAAATGCCAAATGGAAATGTCTGCTGGGAAATGGAAGCAAGGACGAAAATCTGCGCTTTTTTGGGTGGTGTAAGGTTGACACACAGCGATTGTGCGGGTGTTTTCTTGCAGAAATAGATCTAAAGGTGTCCAAAGAGGGCTGCTTGTGAAAATCAACAGGGACTAACTTGACTTGGACAATATGTTGGAGTCCAGCGGTGAACAAGTAGAACCAAGCTGAATTCAGTGGAATGCATTTGTTTTCAAGCAAACAGACTAAGGACAATGCTCTGTATAAAGTGTCAAGAAAAGCACATGGTGGACCCAATTTAGTTTGGACGTAGGGAAAACCAAACAGGACCAAGCCATTTTGGGGATCCCCTCAAACGAATAACACCTAGCTCACATGTCTGTTTTGCTTCAGAAAACAAAGTGGGATGCCTTGAAACAATCAACCACATAGGCATTTGTGCTTCCCTTCAAAGATCAAACGCGGCGCGCGGTTGAGTTTGCCTGAATTGAACTACGTTTCAACCTGATAACAAAAATGAAGAGCAAAGTGAAGCTTGCCGACGCGCCTTTGCACTGACGACAGTGCCGCACATAGTACAAGGTTGCACTGTCTCCATCCTCGGCAAAGGGCAGGTGTCAACCAAAGCCTGAAACCCATCGCCATGAAAACATACGACGAAATGGAAGGTCAAAACTGATCCACCAGGCAAAGAACACACAAAAACACTTGAGCCTTGGAGCTCAGCATCCGGATCTCGGTAAGTTGCCTTCAGGCGGCAAAACCGTCAAAAAGCTGTTAATGCCCAATCGGGCTGAAGCCGCGCTCCATATCTGTCAACTAGGAAGCCACTTGTTGGACCGTTTTTTCAGGGGAAAGCAAACAAACATTAGCAGTTCTTCGGGTCCCCGATTTTGTGACCCCCCGTTGACATATGTGCAAGATCGGCCTTCCTGCCGGATATTTGTGACATCCGATACTCCCATACAACGTCTTTGCACGGGCTTCAACCGCAAGCTGACGTTTGCTAACATATGGGGGACTATTTTGCGGAGCTTGGGATTGGTTTTTAGGTGAAGATGGTGAAGCCAACAATGGGGTGCTTTGACATACCCAAGGCTTCGACCAAAGAAACTGGAGGTGCCAAGGCGATAAGCCCGAATGGGCTGACCCGCTGGTAACAAATCTGGCGACTCGTGCTTCTTGCAAGCACCCTGCCTGTCCTCACCCTCTGCCACAAATTTGTTTGTCACTGGAGCACGTCCTGTGTTTGTGCTGACTCCATCTTGTTATTGACACCTTTCCCGGCGACTTGTTTGGATCTCTAGTATTGTACACAGCTCCTCCTGGGCTGCACTTGCCAACCAATACCCAGAGAGCGACTCGTTATTTCATATGTGGCAAGCAGCAGCACCAGATCACGGCTGAAAAAACACTATTCATTAGTTACGGCCAAAACATCCCGCTTGCCCGCGACGTCTGCGACCGCCCCGCCTCGACCCTTAAAAAACGTGGCAGGCGTGGGAGCTTGTAGACCTGTGTGTGGTGAACTCCCTCAAAAACTTGGGGGTCGAAACCTGGATTTGGAGCACCCTGTCTTGGGTTTAAACCCTAAACCCTAAACCCTAAAAACCCGAAACCTAAACCCTGACAATCCTAAACCTAAACCCTAAAAACCCTAAACCTAAACCCTAAAAACCCTAAACCTAAACCCTAAAAACCCTAAACCTAAACCCTAACAATTTTAAACCTAAACCCTAAAAACCCTAAACCTAAACCCTAAACACCCTAAACCTAAACCCTAAAAACCCTAAACCTAAACCCTAAAACCCTGAACCTAAACCCTAAAACCCTAAACCTAAACCCTAAAGGCAGCGGCAAACATCCCCATAAAGATACTTGTGGGCGAGCCGCGTG